CGCTCGGGCCACAGGCCAAGGCCACGGCCTGGACGCGCGGGGTGCGCCGGAGCCCTGCTCCGCGGCCGGCACTCACCCTCGCTGCCGTACTGCTTGCCGTTGTTCGCGCCCATCCTGCCGCCGTCATGCCCGCCGTCGCCCGGGACAGCGCGTAGCTGCGCAGCGCGCCGCCGGCCGGGAAGCGACCTGCCCGGGCCCGGCTCGGCAACGCGGTCGGAGGAAGGCGCCTGCCCTGCGCGGTGCGGAGCCGGCCCTCCTTCCGCCAGTGCTGGTCGGCGCCGTCCGCGGCCGTCCCGAGCGCGGGTCCGACGCGGCTTCTGTGCCTCTTCCTGCTGCCAGCCCGAGGGAGGAGCCCGGCGGTAATCTCACAGATTTTCCCCTATACCCGTCCTGCCCACTTAACTCAGGAGAGATGTGTTTGGATTTAGGAGAGCAGCTGACTGCGATTTTGTGGCTTCAACCTGTTAATATTAGTTGGAAACCTGTCTGCAGAAGCTGAGGTTTTCCGGCGTGTGACACTCAGGTCGTGAGAGTCTGCCTTGCAGCTGTACTTTAAAGAAATAAAAGGAAGCAAACACTGAAATCCAGGTATTCTGAAATCTCACTAAGAAGGTTTAGTGGGGGGAAAAGAGTTCAGTTGTTTTCATACAGACTTAGAGTGGATTTTCATCGTGTTTCCGAGTGAAAACCATTAGTGGTCAGTTAAGGTCAAGAGATGAGATTGCTTTATATATGCAGACATATTTGATTATACAGATGTTAAATCTTACGACCTTTATGTCTTTAAGACTATTGTTTTTCATGTTATGTCTGGGTCAATTTTAGCTTTGGCGAAATGATCACAACTTTGTGAATTTAGTTTTCTCTTGAATTCATGTTGATATTAATGCCTTTTTAAAAGGCTGAGAAAAATATTTAAGACTATTTGTCTCCTGGAAATAAGTTTTTTACAGGAGTCTTTATGAAGTGCCTCATATAAAGACAAACTCACATTTAATCCATATGACCCAAACTGTTAAAAATTATAACTCACAAATAGCAAAAAGGAAATTGAAGTAGCTTTGTGCCAAAGATTGTGGCTTGTTGTAGTTTATAAAAAAGGAAAAATTAGAAAAAATACTGATTTGGAACTGGAGAATTAAGTCAGACATCTCTATCCACTATGTATTAATAAAAACTTACTGAAAAGTCACTATGGTGGTCATGAAATTCTGGATTTTTTTCTGCCAAGGTATGGTCTGTAGAAGCAGCCTTCAGAGTGACACACCACTGTCTGTGAGACTCCTTTTGTAAGGTGCAGGACACAGAGCAGTTTGTAGTCAGAAGTTGGAAGCAGGCTGAAGGGTTTAAGCTGTTGACTTAAATATGTGACAGTATCGGTGTTGATCCGCCCCCAAACTTGTGTTTATAAACTTCATTGCGGCAGGATGTTAAGGGGATTAAAGGAGACACAGCAATAACAGACAGGGTGAAAACATCCCTCAGTGACGTCCTGTGCTGGCACAACGGGGACTCTTGGGAAGTTTCTCCCAGCGCGTGGAGGGATTCTAGCATCCTCTGCTCCCATGGGGTTGTCTGTCTTCAAGTCCAGTCATTATTGTAACTTTAATAATAAATTTCATGATGACATAAATAAATGAGGCTTAGCAATGTCTTAACTGTATCATGCAGTGTGAAGTTTGTCATTGGGACACAGGTGGCAAGACCACAACATGGACCCGTTTTCAATTTTGCTCTTAATTTCGCCTCATTCTATAAAAATTATGCATCATCATTCAAGGGAAGCCCATTTGTTGAATGTGAAATGCAGACCTCACCAGGTACGATGTTTTTCTTTTATATTTCTTTTAGGAGATAGGGGGCAGACGAGATAGCGAGAGGCATGAATTTACCAACTGTTAATGTAATCTAACCCATGACTTGTCTGAAATTTAAATAAACTTGAAATGCAAAAGTTAAAAAGTATTTTACTGCTTCTTGCATGCATTACATAGTGAATCAAAATAGAAAATATGCATTTGTCCAGATAATCTGGAATGAAAACCAGCTAGCCATAGTCATGTGAAAAATTCAACTGCAAAGTTAGTTCTCAGTGTAGGCCTTCACTAAGAACACTTTCCTTATTAGCAAATTAATACCTCTAATTCTAAGCAGAGCTTGCTTGTTCCACACATGCGTCCTCAGAACGTGGCTGTGGTTGTAGTGGAGTCTGCCGTGCTTGGAAACGTGGTTCTGAAGTGCTTCAAAACGACCACGCGTCTTTACCCCTTAGCTCTCTTTTCCCTACATGTGTTTGGGGCAAAATAAACTCAAAGCCAAATCTTCAACAGTGTCTGTCCCTCCCTGCCGGCAAGTGGCTGTGGCAGGTGAGGCCGAGCTGCGTACTGTGTGTGATCCCTGTATACAAGGAAATGTCCCAATATATGTGTATTTCGAAATGTCATGCTATACACCATAAATGTATACCATTTTTGTTCACCACTAGTAAAGTATGGCGTTGAAACAACCCAACCAGCAAGTTAAGGGAAACGATGTGTTGATCTGCACAGTAGGCCTGAAAGCTCTGAGAGGCACCTCAGCAGAAAGGACGCCCCACAGGAGGTGCAGGCTTCTGGGCGCATGCTGCCCACAGCTGGAGGGCGCTCCTGTGAGCAGCGGCCATGAGAACGCGGCTGCTGGTGCCACCGCAAGGCGCACAGACTGATCTGATCCCTACATGCCCGCCACTCTGAAGGTCACATATTTTGGGAACTCTGCTGGATGCTCGCATTTCATGGGATCTGCCGCCCTCTGAGGGAGCAGGGTGGCCTCAGCCCACTAAAATGGTCTGAGCTGCCTTCTCTGAGGGAAGTGGGCTGGGAGGAGCCCGGAAGGAGCGAGGGCAGCTGGTACTGTGACAGGGCCAGCCCTCAGGTTACCCATCTCCACCAGGAAGAAACTGGATTAGATGGCCACTAATGGCATCTGTACACCAGAGTCCAAGTGTTCCCAACATGGCTGTTTAGCATGACATAAAACCTGACTTGAAGACCAATAATTATGGGTTCCCAAATTCTCACCAAACAAGGGCATTGTAAGGGATTGGCAGTATTAGAGATTTCTTAGAAGTCCAGGATCAGAAAGAGACTTGTGCCTTCCACGCAGCAGGGCAGTGGAGATCTCCAGCCCCTGGTTTTGAAAGCAGAATTGCCCCTTACATTTGCTTCCTAAGGGCCCGGCTTGTGGCAGTTGAATGTCCGGTGTGTATGACTGAGGTGAAGATCCCAGTCTTCTCTGGAAGTGAGGCTTTAAAATAAGAACTTGTTATTGCTGTCACATTATATAATTGTGTACTTCAGTGTGCAGAAATGCATAACGTATTTGAAAATGCAAATACATGTACTGGAATTACTGATCAAAACATCCTGTTTGGTGTCAGTAGCCCCCAAGTTCCCTTGCCCAAAGTAGATGAATGCTTTAATAGTGGATTTCTGGAAAAACTGATCAACAACCTACATTATGTTAGAGTTCTTAGTTTAGTTAAGAATTTTGTTACATTGTTTATTCCAAAACTATTTGAAAGTTGCTTTCTGTAGACTTGACAGTGAGTTTATCATTAGACTTGCCCTTGTTGTTGTAGACCCATAGATGTCAAATAAAATTTGGAGAGAACTGGAAAACATACCTGGACTGAAAAACAAGGCTGCCCATGGCAAAATAATAAAGAAATTGAAAGTGCTGAGCAGACTGTCCCCCAGGGCTTGCAGGGTGCTGGGCTTGGAGCTGCCGCAGATTCTGGGCTTCTGCAGAGGAGCAAGTGCAAAGCCCCAAACCGCCCTGAAAGCCCCGCCTGATCGGGGGTGTGTGAGTGCAGCAGAAGCCAGGGGAGCTGTGGACCTACTCCTGGCTGTCTCCTCATCGTAGCTCCAGACCTGGTCAGCAGGAGGGAGAGCACCCAGCCTGGTGAGCAGGCACTAGGACTGGGATTTTCCTGTTGGTGTGGAGCAGGGACTTGGAAGCTCTTCAGATCATGTTGTGGATGGTGATGTGTGTAGAGGCACCTGAAAGTGTTGGGTAAGCTGGGCGCATGCCCTGACCGCCAGCTCTGCTGCTGCGTCAGCAGTGAGCCTCTTTCCCCACCTGTGGTGTGGCCGGCGCTGTCGCGGCACCAGGCCTCTGTGCATGAGACACTAAGAAGTCAGGACTGGGGCCATCTGCCTCCTTCCTGGGCCTTGGTAAGGCTTGCACATCTAGGCGCCAGCCCCGTGTGCTGGGACTGCGCCTTCTGAACCAGCGCTGTGTCCTTCCTTTCACCCAGTTAAGAATCCTCTACCAAGAAAAGAGAATGATAAAAGATCAGTGACAAAGAGTATCTTATAAAGGCGACGAGATATCTTGTGAAGGTGCGTAAAGTGACATTATTCTGTGGAATCTTGCTATTTTTAAGATATCTTTCTTTTTCTGGTCACTAGTTGCAATCATGTCGTCTAGATTTGATATTCTATACCCCTCTTGAGTCTTTGTGTATTCTTTCAATGGACTTTTTTTTGGTGGAACCGGGGATTGAACTCAGGCCCTTGCGCTTGCCAGGGAAGCATTTATTCCACTGAGCCATCTCCCTGGCTCTTTCAATGGAATTTTTAATCTCTTGGATTTCTGATATCTAGAACATGTAAAGAATTGGAAAAAATCAGACCTCTCAAATTCAAATAACCAATCCAAAAATGGGCATCTGAGATGAATACATACTTCTAACATGAAGAAATACAAATAGCAAATAAAAATATGAAAAAACACTCAACATCATTGATCATCCAAGAGATGTAAATTTAAGTAACATTGAGATTCTGTCTCACCCCAGAAAGAATGGCTGCCATCAAGAAGTCAATCAATAACAGCACTGGCAGGGCTGAAGAGAAAAAGGAACCCTTCTTCACTACTAGTGGGAGTGTAGACTGGTCCAACTACTGTGGAAATCAATGTGGAGATTCCTCAAAAAAGTAGGATTAGAGGTCCCATCTGACCCAGCTATTTCTCTTCTGGGTGTCTTCCTAGAAGAATTAAAAACATCATAGCACAGTGACATATATGCACCCATTTTTATAATAGCACAACTTGTAACAACTAAGTCTTATAAGTAACCCAAATGCCCATCAACTGAGGAATGGATTAAAAAAGATTTTTTTTATATAATGTAGTACTACTCACCCATAAAGAAGGACAAACTTGAGACTTGTATAGGTAAATGCATGCAACTTGAAACCACACTCACAAGTAAATCAGACCCACATGTGTAAACATTGTGTTGTCTCCCTAGTGTGAGAAGCCGAATTAGTAAATAAGACCCAAAATGTACAATAGACCTTGTGCATTGGGAAGACACTGTTCAAAGGGAAAGAGAAACTGATGGGGAAAGCAGGAAAAAATATATATACACATATACATACGAGATAGTTAAGACAGTTATGTGGCTAGTTTCCCTTAGTTCACTGAAAAGAAAGGTTTGAGCTAATATTGTTTGGGCAATATTTTATGTCTATATCTTCTAATCTGAGTAACTACTAAGAAGATATATGCAATGTATCAATTATTGTTTCTGTCTTATTGTTAGCCTGTTTTGAAAGTCTGTTTTATTTTAATTTTTTTTTCTGTGTAAGCAAAATTTAAAAATGTTATCCACACATTAAAAATTATGTTATTCCATTTCATTTATTCTTTTCCATTAAAAACATTGTTTTATGAGAAGTTTTACCAAATCTTTTTTAAAATAAAGTGAGAGAATAGAAAAGATCTAGATGTCAAAATTGAACAAAGATGTAATAAGAAAATAAAGCGGGCTGGAGAGATGGCTCAGTGGTCTAAAGCACCTACTTGAAACAAGCTTGGCAAAGCACAGGGACCGCGGTTCGATCCCCAGCACCACATGCCAGCCAGACCCGCTCCCTGGTGGGCTGAGCTGGCCACACACACACACACAATAAATAAATGCAATAAATAAAAAAAAAAAATAAATAGAAAATAAAGCTATTGTGTTATACCTGTTGGGAACAATAACACATACATTTTTTTTTTTCCTGGAACCAGGGATTGAACTCAGGCTCTTGCCCTTGCCAGGGAAGCACTTAGTTGTCTTCTGAGCCATCTCCCCAGCCCCTAACACATACATTTTACATCAAAATTCACCAAAGTAGTATTAAAAGTATCAGGGAAAAATAGAATATGAAATCATGTCACTAGGGTAATTGTTTTTTCCATACTTAAAAATAAATTTTGATGCCTAACTTATACCATATGCAAAGAAATCCTCTTTAAATTTACTTTAATACAAGTCTAAAAACAATGTGGAAAGGTTAGGAAAAAGTCTCATCACTGTGACAAGGGATTTTCTTTTATGTATTTGCTACCGGTTCTCCCGTGCAGCTCGGACTTGTGGTGATCCTCCTGTTTTCAGCCTCCCAGTGCTGGGATTACAGGCATGAGCCACCACTGCCGGTCTCAGTGCCTGGCTCAAACAGCAGAGAAAGTGTGACCCTAAGGGCAATGATCAATAAATTTGACTTTATTGAAATTAAAAGTTCAGCTTAATAAAAGAATCAGCAAGGTGAAAAGCAAGTCATGTTGTGAGAAGGAATTTGTGAAACAACAGTTAGAATCCATAGTCTCTTACGTATTCATTGAATTTGTTAGAAAAGACATCTACCAGAAAAAGTACAGTTGATTTACAGAAGAGAAAAATACATAGCCATTAAATTTGTGAAGATTATAAACCTTACTAATAATCAGAATAATGAAAGACCAGTAAGATAAATTTTGCAACCATCTACATTAGAAAACTATTAAGCCTAACAATAACAAACATTGGCAAAGAAAGAGAGCAAAGAAATTTTCAAACACTTGGCAGAACCCTGAATGAGGCCAGCTGGGCCCTG